CAAATAAGGGTTAGCACAATGTAATCCAAGTGTAGTCGAATTACATTACCAAAATGTGTAATCCGATCAAATAAGGGTTGGCACAAATATAATCTAAATGTAATCCATAAGTAGTCCGATTACTTTACCAATGTGTGTAATCTAAGAGATCAAATAACGGTTAGCACAAAAGTAATCATAACGTAATCCAAATGTAGTCAGATTCCTTTACCAAAATGCGTAATGTAAGAGAGCAAATAAGATGGAGCACAAATGTAATATAAAAGTAGCCCAATTACATTACCAAAATGTGTAATCCAATAAATCAAATAAGGGTTGGCACAGAAGTAATGTAATCTGACTACTTTTGCATTACATTTAGATTACTTTTGTGCTCCCCTTAATTGATGTCTTGGATTACGCATTTTGGTAATGGAATCAGACTACTTCTGGATTGCATTTGGATTACTTTTGTGCCAACCCTTATTTGATCAGTTAGATTACATATTTTGGTAAACCTAATGTAATCCAGAAGTAGTCAGATTCCATTATCAAACTGTGTAATGTAAAAGATCAAATAAGGGGAGAATAAAAGTAATCCAAATGTAGTCCAACAGTAGTCAGATTACATTACTGAAATGTGTAATCTACCAGATGCACAGATGAATTAAGCACAGAAATAGCAGCATGAGCTAACATAATCAATATGGTTAGATTTGATTTCACCTGTACTTCAACATAGTCTCTGTTCTCCTGTGTCCCGCAGCCCATCATGTTTCGAGGTGAAGTGCGTCTGAATGTGGAGGAGAAGAAGACCAGAGCGGTCCGTGAGCGTGAGACCAGAGGGCCGCCAGACGCCCGCCGCGGGCCCAGAGGCATAATGGGTAACGGGATGGGGCGTGAGCGAGACTCCCGTGGGCCGCCGGCCTCCAGAGGAGGGATGGGAGCAGGACGAGGCCAGAGCGGAGAGAGCCGCTTCACCGGCCCGCGCACACGCTAATCGCAGAACACACCTTTCTCTATTCAGTCTTTGTTGTCGTTTTCTCTCCACGTCTCTCTCTCTCTGGCTTTCGGACTGTGACTGGCCATCAAAGACTCAACAGAAACTCAGCTTTGTATTATTCCCGTCATGATCTCGCCGTGAGCTTTTTTTTTTTTTTGTCCTATAAAACACAAGTGGAATGTCACGAAGGGGTTTCCTCATGGAACGGATCTCTCACATTTTATAACGGACGAACATCAGCGCTTCGTAAATCAGTGCTCCGTGTACACTTTATTTATTTTCCTCGTAAATAAAACAGTGGTGGTGCCTTAACTCGATTCTCGCCCTTTCTGTCTGTCTGTCCGTCTGTCTGTGTGGATCGGCAGTATTTCAGGTCTGGTTCAATCTGACGGAGTCCATGATTCTCTGTTTTTCTTTGCATGGCTGTTTTTGTTTCGTTTTTTGGGACGGTCTTTACGCACGGCGTTCTGAAGCTTTTCCCCACGTGTTTGCTTCAGACTGGACTTCATTCGGCTTCAGCAGGTTTTTGTTTTGAATGTGTTTTTCGACTTTCAATAAACTACTGAAATCTGCAACAGCAGCGTTGAATTTGATTGTTTATTTGGAGCTAGTGCAATTTTGCTTGCTATGTTTCATATTAATATGCAAATGAGATTTATATTCAATCATTTCTGTAGCACTTTCACAATGTAGACTGTCAAAGCAGCTTCACATAGAAGATTTTAGTCAATTGAAACTGTCAGTCCAGTTTTCAGAGTTGAGGTTCTGTTCAGAAGTCCAATCACTGAAGAGTAAATCCATCGATGTGCAGCTCCACAAGTCCTAAACCAAGCTAGCCAGGGGTGACAGTGGAGGAACAAACGTCACCAATTGACCAAAGTGAAGGGGAAAAAACCTAGAGAGAAATGTTTATTAATGTTCCTCTGGCTAAATGTTCTGTGCAGAGCTGCAGTGTAGGCGCTGGACGTCCATCATGGAGAAGTTGCAGGTGTGAGTAGGTCACCGGTAGGTGTTCAGGCTGGCCCACGGGATCTATGCGGAGATTTGTCTGTCACTGGGGTCTTTCAGTAATCAGTCTCACGCTCTCCTCCATGACCACCACTGCATCTGCTCAGGATACGGCCTGGTCCAGGATTATGGAGACCTCTAGAAAACTATGGTTGGCATCTTCTCTTCACAGGTCTGAAAACTGCTTTATATGCAAATGTTTTACAGTGCTCGGCATAATTGAGTTCACCCCATTTTGAAAATGAATATTTTTCTCCATTTCTCAGTGAATATGGGCAGTGCATTTAAACAAAACAGATTTATTAAACAGATATATTTATTAAAATAATATTTTAGTCACCAAACATATCTAGGAATTTAAAGATAATACCGTTAAATTCAAGCTAAATTTTGAAGAAAAAAAAATACAGCCCACAATATTTCACCTAAAATATTTTTGCTTCTCTTGATTTTTCCTCTTTTTAAACTTGTATTTAATACTTTTCTATAACATATAAATTTGGCTGAACTAGTTTTTGGACCGTTATGGTAAGTTAATTTGTTAGATAAGCTCCTTATTTGGCTGCAGTACTGACTAATCCAGTGAATATGCACAAATATAATATTGTATAGCTTCCTGTTAAAAATATGAGCTTTATAGTTTTGTGAGGGGTGTACTTATGTATGCTGAGCACTGTGCATGCTGATATTCCAAAGTTTTCTGTAATATTATTGAACAAGCAAATTCATTTAAAGTTCAGTTCACCTTTTTAAAATAAACAAAGTTAAATAAATGTGGTGATTATATCAGTGCTTCACTGATGATCTGAAATGCATCTGAAGTGACTTATTGTAGGCTGTTAATTGTACATTCGGAATTAAATTAGCCACAGTTGACAGGAAGTTGCACTAAAATTAAAGGAAGTTTTTTTTTTTATTGCATTTTAAAAACTTTACTATAACAAGGAAGTTTCCAGCCAGACCATAATAGTATTACATTAAGGGCTCTATTTTGATGATCCATGTGCAAAGCACAGGACGCAAACGCATTAATGATGTGTCACAATCCACTTTTGCTTTTTTTAAGGACTGAAAAATCCGCTTTGCGCCGTGGCCATGGTCTAACAGGGTTGAGCTGATTCTCTTGAGTTATAGGTGTGTTTTGAGAATAAACCAATTAGAGTCTCATCTCTCATTCCCTTTAAGAGTCAGTTGCGTCGCTCCATAAGCGCATTTGCTATTTACATGGTGGACTTTGTAAGTGTAAAAACTGAAATTTTGAGATCAGCAAAACCAGCATTGAAACAAGCAAGACCAACATTGAGACCGGCAAGACCAACATTGAGACCAGCAGGACCAGCATTGAGACCGGCAAAACCAGCATTGAGACCAGCAAGACCAACATTGAGACCAGCAGGACCAGCATTGAGACCGGCAAAACCAGCATTGAAACAAGCAAGACCAACATTGAGACCGGCAAGACCAACATTGAGACCAGTAGGACCAGCATTGAGACCAGCAAGACCAACATTGAGACCAGCATTGAGACCGGCAAAACCAGCATTGAGACCAGCAAAACCAGTATTGAAACAAGCAAGACCAGCATTTAGACCGGCAGGACAAATATTGAGACCGGCAAAACCAGCATTGAGACCAGCAAGACCAACATTGAGACCAGCAGGACCAGCATTGAGACCGGCAAAACCAGCAATGAAGCAAGCTAGACCAGCATTGAAACAAGCAAGACCAGCATTTAGAGCAGCAGGACAAACATTGAGACCGGCAAAACCAGCATTAAGACCAGCAGGACCAGCATTGAGACCAGCAGGACCAGCATTGAGACCGGCAAAACCAGCATTGAAGCAAGCAAGACCAGCATTGAGACCAGCAGGACCAGCATTGAGACCGGCAAAACCAGCATTGAGACCGGCAAAACCAGCATTGAGACCGGCAAAACCAGCATTGAGACCAGCAGTACCAGCATTGAGGCCAGCAAGACCAGCATTGAGACCGGCAAAACCAGCATTGAGACCGGCAAAACCAGCATTGAGACCAGCAGTACCAGCATTGAGGCCAGCAAAACCAGCATTGAGACCGGCAAAACCAAAATTGAGACGAGCAAAACCAGCATTTAAACAAGCTAGACCAGCATTTAGACCAGCAGGACCAGTAAGTTATACCAGCATCAAAACGTACCTTACCAGCATATGCTGTTTTTTCAGCAGGGTTTGTAAAAGTATTTGTAGTTTAATTCAGTACTTTGTTTGAAAAGCCAAATAATTAAACCTAAAAAATAACTTATACTTTTTTTAGTAATGAGTTTCTTTACTGGTTACTTAGAAAAATATTATTATGTAACTCGCGTTACTTGTATGCTTATTAGGATATTAATATTCAGTTGTTATGGAAACCCCTGGTTGAAGTCAACAGAAGGACACCCACTCCAAACGCGGAAGCGAATGCTCAGACTTTCGTTGAAGATTACCAAAACACTTTTCTGTTAATTAACTTGCACGGGTGAATTTTTCATCTAGGAAATGTGAGCTTGCAAAAATAAACATAGCAATTTTTGATTTAAAGTGGACTTTCAATAAGAAAACATTGAAATAACTTGCTCCTTCCCAGCAGGGGGCGGAAACGACAAAAAAAGCCAAAAGAAGGACAACCTGATGTAGGAAGCAAAGATAACTGTACACACATACACACACACACACACACTTTGCAGAGAGCGTTAATATGAATTTACACACATAACACACATGAACAGCAGAGAAAACACGTGCAAACACACACAGCCACAAAAAAACCTGACAAAACAACCTGCAAGTGATAATGCACTCGAATATCACCTGACTGACAGACACACTGCAAGGTTAAACATTAAAATAAAATAAAAATAATGATAAAAACGTCATGGGTAATATTAAAATATATTTTGACACGTTAATACAAACCATAAAAACATCAGACGCGCGAGTCTAGACTTCCTAGATTCACGTTTCCTGACCGCAGTCACACACACTCACGCACACACACACACTCACACACGGAAAAACTGAACACGGAGGTAAGAAATGTTAAATGTTTTTTTTTTACCCATGGTTATTTACTGGAGGCGATCAGTCAATTGATCGATCACCTGAATTGATTGATGTTTCCTAGAGTTTAATGAAAAGATGGAAATGAAAGTTCATTAGTGTGTGAAATGAACTGATCTGCGGTCATTCGAGTTTCTGTTCAACAATTAACCAAAACACAAACAAACTGGAGCACTGAGTGAATTAATATTGTGTTTTTGTGATGTGTTCATGTTTAATCTGAAGCATTGTCTTGTAACTTATTTGTTGTCATTTCAATCGCAGTCTGATTTGTTTTAGTGATAAATGTTGAAATACAGCATATTGCACTGTGTTTTTATTTCTGGAGTAAGTTTTTGAAAGTTTTGTCGAGATAAAATGAGTTAATCTTGAAACTAGGAACTTTGTTTTTCCGCTATTTTCCTGATTTTCTGTCAAGTGAGTTCCTCTATAGGTTATTTGTGTTTCGAAACCACCATTTTATTTATTTTTACTTTCATTTAGCTGTGATTAGCCATGTTTTCACGTATTGTGTCGTGTTGTGCTTGTATAGCTCATTATGTAGGCTAAAAAACCCACATTTTACTAAATATATCGTGCTTTTGAATATCGTAAAGTACTTAAATTGATTGTGTAGTTGCTATGGTAACACAATAACCATAGTCAAATAAATTTCACAATGATGTACGTTATTTACAGCAAAATACTAAAATACACCACAGTTAGTAAAAACTTATACTATAGTATTTATTACAGTTTGTCTGTAGAACCTATAGCCTAGTGCTACAGTATGATGTAGAATTCATTAACAGAGGTGTAAATACTATAATACAAAACACTTTATGGTTCAAAAACACGTTTATTTACTATAGTATTCATTCATGTGTAACAAATATGGTTAATTAAGCAAATCATTGGACAACAGTGTTTTATGTGCTAAAATTGATCTTAAAAAATGTAAAACTGCTTTTATTTCAGCCAAACTAATAGACTGACTTCAGCAGAAATAAATATTATAGGACTTTTATCAAGCATGTTTTCACGTATTGTGTTTGTATGGCTCATTATTTAGGCTCAAACCCACATGAAAAAAATATATATACTGTAGTGTTTTTACTGTGAAGTAATCTGTTGTTGTAGTTGTGTAGTTGCTGTGGTAACATAACTTCAAAAGTCATACAAATTACACAATACTATATGATTTTTACAGCAATACACCACAGTTTACTGTAGTGAAAACGTAAGTAGGCCTATAGTATTTATTACAGTTTGTCTGTTGGCTATAGCCTAGCTAATACTACAGTATGATGTAGAATTCATTAACAGCGTTGTAAATACTACACTCACTGGCCACTTTATTAGGTACACCTGTCCAACTGCTCGTCAACGCAAAATTCTACTCAGCCAATCACATGGCAGCAACTTAATGCATTAAGGCATGTAGACATGGTCAAGACGACCTGCTGCAGCTCAAACTGAGTATCAGAATGGGGAAGAAAGGGGAATTAAGTGACTTTGAACGTGGCATGGTTGTTGGTCTGAGTATTTCAGAAACTGCTGATCTACTGGGATTTTCATAAACAACCATCTCTAGGGTTTACAGAGAATGCTCCGACAAAGAGGAAATATCCAGTGAGCACATTTCTGCTGCCACATTCGGATGCTCGGCTCAGAATTTGGCGTCAACAACATGAAAGCATGGATCCATCCTGCCTTGTATCAGCGGTTCAGGCTGGTGGTGGTGGTGTAATGGTGTGGGGGAGATTTTCTTGCCACACTTTGGGTTCATTAGTACCAGTTGAGCATCAACGCCACAGCCTACCTGAGTATTGCTGCTGACCATGTCCATCCCTTTATGAGCACAGTGTCTCCATCTTCTGATGGCTACTTCCAGCAGGATAACGCAGCATGTCATAAAGCTCAATCATCTCAGACTGGTTTCTTGAACATGACGATGAGTTCACTGTACTCAAATGGCCTCCACAGTCACCAGAGCTCAATCCAATAGAGCAGCTCTGGGATGTGGTGGAACGGGAGATTGGCATCATGGATGTGCAGCCGACAAATCTGCAGCAACTGTGTGATGCTATCATGTCAATATGGAGCAAAATCTCTGAGGAATATTTCCAGTACCTTGTTGAATCTCTGTCACTAAGGATTAAGGCAGTTCTGAAAGCAAAAGATGGTCCAACCCGGTACTATTAAGGTGTATCTAATAAAGTGTCTGGTGAATATATTATACAATATACATTGCCACAGTATGGTTCAAATACACTACTATTTAATACACATGTACACTAACTGAAATAATATGTATTTCTAGAGTGCACTGACAGACAGAGTGAGATTTCACACACTCTTAGGGTGCTTTCACACCTACACTTTTGTTTCGGAACGTGTCTCGTTTGCCCAGTTACCGCGGTTCCTTTGGCATATGTGAACAGGGCAATCGCGCTCTGTTCCGCGCCAAAGTAATCGCTCCGAGATCGCTTGAATTAGGTGGTCTCGGCTCGATTGAAACGTACCCTGGAGCGGTTTGATTGCAGTGAGAAAGCGATCCGATCCGAGCGCGGTTATATCACAGTGTTTTATGGATATGTAATAGGCTTACGGCTATATGAAGAGAGAATTATGATTATTGGCGGGAAGTTTCGCGAGTCTCCGGATGCCCGCAAATGAGTGATGATCTCCCGGTAATCTCGCATCTCCCTCCCGGTCCTCAAATAGGCATCGTCATGCACCCTTCTCACCCCTCCCCACTGCATCTCTCCTCAGACACGTCACGCGCACACCCTGTCAATCACCATCAAACCACCACCTCTCCTGACAGCTGAGCGGGACGCTGCAAAATAAACCCTGACACTCCCAATGTGAGGAGAGTTTACTGGCACGTGACTTGTTTTAGCTCTTTTGGTCCGATTAGAAACTTTGTCGTGTGAAAGCGAACCGCACCAAGAGCAAAGAGCAACAATGTAACAATTGTAATCTCTGTTTCAGAACAACTGAATCCATTCACAGGTGTGAAAGCAGCCTTAGACTTTATCACATTGGTTGAAATCAAGATTGCTCAAAGTTCAGATTTTAGGGTTTGTTCATTATCAGAGGAAGTCTAATTCTTTATCATCTTTTCATGATATCAGTTGAAGAAGGTCAAATAGGAGACTTTCTGTTCTGGTGGCCACATAAAAATAATAAGTGTAATTCATATACAAAGTAATATGGGTAACGTCTTGGCTTGTCATTCAGGGTGGGTGAATCGGTAAATAAATATATTCTTTGCAGTTATTTTGCAAGTGACTAGTATTCAGCTTAAAGTGCAATTTAAAAGCTTGGTTCAAGAGTTCACACTGATGATTAATTATAAAGCGAGTTTGGCATGCTGTGCTGGGAGAAAGCTCATCAAATCCTTTCTCTTCGAATGGGACTTAGCCCCAAAGAAGCCCAGTTTTTCCTCCATTTATTGGGTCCAAATAAACTGAAAACAAGCGCTTTTAACTTCTCCCCCAGCCTCCCGCTGGTCTGCAGATACCCACACCAGTGAATGCTGCTCTCTCATTGGCTATAGGTGATCGCTAGGGCTGGGCAATTTTTTCGATTAATTCGAATTTACGTTTTGACGACGATTTAATTTTGTATTAAATCGAGAAATAGCGATTAAAAAAAATTGATACATTATAATGGCACCAATGCTCTTTGGTTCACTCTCTGTATGAAGCAGGAAGCACACCAGAAGCGCCGTTTGGCAATGCACCGCTCAGCACCACGCAGCGCCATGGAATTTAGAATTCTAAACAAGTTTCTATACACACACCGGCGCCGCCCAGCCACGATTCAGGACGCAGTTCATATTTCAGCCGCGCCACAGAGCGCCATCTGATTAGTTTCATGTAAAATATCATGCGAATGTGCGCGTCTGTGTGTGATACTTTAAACCAGTGGTCACCAAACTTGTTCCTACAGGGCCAGTGTCCTGCAGATTTTCGCTCCAACCCTAATCAAACACACCTGAACAAGCTAATCAAGCTCTCACTAGGTAAACTTGAAACACCCAGGCAGGTGTGTTGAGGCAAGTTATAGCTAAACCCTGCAGGGACACCGGCCCTCCAAGACCAGGATTGGTGACCCCTGCTTTAAACTGTCATGTGCGCGCTGTCGCGGCGCTTCTGGTGTGCGACCTGCTTGACTGTCTGTTAAAGCGTGAAGTCATGTAGGATTTTACTTGTTGCATTAGTCTGAGTCATCTTAGTTCAAACCGCGCTCATATTTTGGTTTGAACATGAGCAGAGGTGTGCATCAGCAATGAAAATGAAAGTAGCCGTCCCCATGACGTCTACGACTGCAAGACCCAGAGGCCTGCAAAGCAGCGGTCTCCCCTCCCGATACTGGCCGATGCTCGAGGCGACGTAAGCGGTGGGAGGGACGTAGCACTCGTCGCAAGCGGTGTGCTAGACCTAGCAAGCGAGGGAGTCGAGCGGGTATTAGCGCAAGGCTAAAAGCTAAAGTACAGACCTGCACTTCCTGCGATTCTGCTTTCCAACGTTCGCTCGCTGGAAAACAAAATGGACTATCTCAGATTGGATCTAAATACACAAAAGAAGGTGAAAGATTGCAGTGCCATCGTCCTCACCGAGACATGGCTTAACCACAGCGTTCCAGATAACGCTATTCAGGTGGACGGACTAACAACATTCAGAGCGGACAGGAGTCACGCACTCACTGGTAAGCTACGAGGTGGTGGAGTGGCAATCTACATCAATAACAACTGGTGCACAAATGCTAAAGTTCTCCGAAGTCACTGTTCTGAAGACATAGAATTTTTAACAGTTAAATGTCGTCCAGTATACTTGCCAAGAGAATTCTCAGCCGTGACTATTACAGCCGTGTATATACCGCCCAGTGCGAATACAAAAGACGCACTTACTACATTGTATCAATCTGTGAGCTCGATGCAGGACTCAAACCCGGACTCTGCCTGTATAATCGCTGGCGA